TATATATATATATATATATATATATACTGAATTGAATTAGGTCAGTTATATTTGTTTTTTTTCTGCCCTATTACTTTGATTCTGTGTTTTAATCATTTGAATTGCTTATTTCGGTGATTGAATTTAATTTTAAATTTCATTTTTTGTTTTTGTGGAGGAAATTTTTCCCACTCAACCTTGTGGACTTGTCTGCCTTACTTAAAGGTTTTTGACTTCCAATGACATGTTTAAAGTTTGGATTTAAATTTGGGCTTTGACTAGACCGGTCAAAATGCAACTAAAGCTTGCAGAGAAAATCTTCCTGAGCGTCTCACAGACGCACCCTTAGATAAATATTTAGCACTGTGAAACTTTACCCCTTCATTTCTTTAGAGATATTAGCTCAGTCTGGTTCTCTAAAGAGAACGCAGCACGATTTGTTGATTCTTTCTCCTCAATGTTGTCAGAATATAGCCTTCCAAAGATGTGGTTAATCACTGTTATTTAAATATTGAACAGTTTATTGATTTAAAATATTAGCGTAAAAGAAAAAAAGACTTGTAACGGATGAAGTACAGTTACTGGGAAGTATAAAATGCTTCTTATGATTTTCCATTTGAATATATTTATCTTCTTAACTCTAAAGATGGCTTTGATTAACCAATGCAAGAGCTACATCCTAATTCTGATGAGAAATAAATCCTATTCAGCAAAAAGAGTGAATAATAGAGATAATTTTCAAAGACTAGATGCAATCAACTGGATTTTTAACAGATAAACAAATTCTAGAAGAACAGAACTTTTATTGTCATTCCACTGTCACAAGTACAAAGCAACGAAATTCACCCTCTGCATTTAACCCCTCCCCTTTGGGGAGCAGGGAGCTGCTCATTATAATAAGATACTATCTCAATATTATGAGATAGCATCTCAATATAAGAGATAGCATCTCAATATAACGAGATAGCATCTCATTATAACGAGTAACTATCTCATTATAACGAGTAACTATCTCAATATAACGAGATACTATCTCAATATAACGAGATACTATCTCAATATAACGAGATACTATCTCAATATAACGAGATACTATCTCAATATTATGAGATACTATCTCAATATTATGAGATAGCATCTCAATATAACGAGATAGCATCTCATTATAACGAGTAACTATCTCATTATAACGAGTAACTATCTCATTATAACGAGTAACTATCTCATTATAACGAGTAACTATCTCATTATAACGAGTAACTATCTCAATATTATGAGATAGTATCTCAATATTATGAGATAGTATCTCAATATAACGAGATAGTATCTCATTATAACGAGATACTATCTCAATATAATGAGATACTATCTCAATATTATGAGATACTATCTCAATATTATGAGATAGTATCTCATTTTATTGAAATACTATCTCGTAATAACGAGTAACAATCTCATTATAATGAGTAACTATCTCATAATATTGAGATAGTATCTCATAACGAGTTACCATCTCACTATATTGAGTTAGGTTAAGGGTCTTGCTCAGGGACCCAGAGTGCAGGCTGTGGTAGTGGGGCTTGAACTCTGGGAAGCCCAATGCCCTAACCACTAGTCCACTTTTAACCTATCTGTCTGTATATTAGGATTCAGTTTCCTGTTTAAAGGGTCTCTAGATGGCGTGTTTTATGAATCGGGGCTGTAGTTATGAACTGAACTGAATACAGGCATCGTTTGGGACTATTCAAATTCTTACAGCATAATATATGAAAACAATAAAAAAATAAAAATAAATAAAGGTTTTTCATGGAATCCTATAGAGGCTAAATTTCTGTTCCTTTTTCCATACAAGTGTTTTAACTGATGTTTGGTCATTAAATGTGCATTTTTTTAGCCGGTATACTGGGAAAAATGTGCATGAAGACTCTTGATTCTTTCATGTTTTTATTCTTTTCTGCAGTTGGGGGAGCTGGGTAAAGGTGCAGGAAAAGGTGGAGGAGGCGGAGGCTCCATCAGAGAGGCAGGTGGATCCATGGGGAAGAAGCAAGCCGCCGAGGAGGAGATGTATTTCAAGTATGTTTAATATTCATACCAACAGCGTAATAAATTAACTATTAAAAAGTCTAATTGTTGCTTTTCTCCTCTCCTTTTTAACCATCATATTGTGTGTGTGAACCCGTTACCCCATGCAATGACATATTAGGCGAAAAGAGCAGGAGCAGCTGAATGCACTGAGGCAGCACCACCTGGAAGAAATTGATCACCACAAGAAGGAGATCGAACGCCTGCAGCGGGAGATCGACCGCCACAAGGGAAAGATCAGGAAGCTGAAGCACGACGACTGAGTGGAACAAAAAAAAGCTTATTTTCACTCGCCGTCCAAAAACGCCTTTATTTGACGCACCTGTTGCTGCATGCATTTACCAGGAAGGATCTGAATGTGTGGAAGATTTTCTGTAAATGATTGAAAGTTATTAAATTTTCTCATCTATTGGTGTGTTTCTATGGTTTGCTGTGGTTGCAATTCTACAATTCCACACATCATCGTTGTGCTTTTCACACTGCCATCAAAAGACCTACGGTTAAAACATGTGAACGTCAGCCTTAAATTTTGTTTCAATGAATAAAAAATGTGCATGGCACTGAAGGTTTAAAACATCTAAGGCTTTTTACTGTTTTTATTTCAGCATTCAGACTCTGGCAGAGCTTTAGTGTAGGGAGTTCACCGCCGTGGTTTGGAAGAGAGGATTTCAATTTGCTGAAGTGTTGAGATTTGTTTTAGGGTGGATATAAAAATCACTGAAAATGCAGTAAGTAGATAATTTTAAAGAAATTTCTTTAAAAACCTGGTATAAAAAACAGTAATGAATTTATTACACCGCTGGTTCAATAAGTGCAAGGTTATAACCTCAAAGTTATATTTTCCTGACATTATCCTTAATCAGTTATGCAAATAAAGGCTGCTATGGAAGCCCGTTGCTGCCACTCCAAAAAAAAAAAAATCTTATAATGAGATAGTATCTCATTATATTGAGTTAATATCTCATTATAATAAGATTTTTTTTTTTTTTTTTTTTTATACAGAGTGGCGGAAAATTATGGAAGCCTTTTTCCGCCACTCTGTAAAAAAAAAAAAAAAAAAAAATCTTATTATAATGAGATATTAACTCAATATAATGAGATACTATCTCATTATAAGATTTTTTTTTTTTTTTTTTTTTNTATATATATAATATGTGTGTGTCTGTGCAGTTATGTTGTAACTCATGTTGCCTCGAAAGCGAAAATGACCCTTTTGACGTGGGGTCAGCTTTCAGCAGATACGTAAATAACGTAAGATGTCACGCCGTAGGACGTACCATTACGCAAGTCGAGCTTTTGTTTGGTAAAACACAATGTATTATAAGTAAAGCTGAATACTGTAATGTAACTCCAGCAGAAGGTTGTTAAATATGAGCATTTTCTTTCTCTCTGAGCATAAACCGGTCAGAACAGGTTAACTCTCCCCCCCTCCGTCTCGCGATAATGGTTCCGTCCTGTGGTTAATTTCTGTGGACAAGGGCACAGCGTCAGTGTCACTGGTGTTTTTCTATCACACAGTGAAACATGGCGAGGTTCCTGAGGTTAAACGTCAGGAATTTTGTCACATCCCAGCTTAGGATGTCATCTGACCAGGTAATGACTATTTGCTGAATTTAAAAAGCTGATTGGGGCATCATTTCCCCCAGCTAGCTAAAACAGAAAATGAAAAAAACATCATAACATGATGGAACATGTTTTAGCTCGCCATTGTTTATAGATCACATTTCATCTTTGGGGATCAGGGAAAAGGTGTGTTAACTCTGTGCTGTTAATGGAGCATTCATTACCACCTGCGTCAGAACCGAGCAGCAGCACCGTCCCTTTTATCCAACATTGTGTCCAAGACTCTAGTCTGTTCCACAGTCTGCTTTAAAATCCTGCTGCTAACTTCAAACCTCTGCAACTGATCCTGACCTTCAAAGCTGAGCTCACTCTGGCCTCTTAGAACAGAAAGCAGAAAGTCTTATTCTGGTGTTAAACTTCATCATTTTTGTATTTCGCATTATACCAATTTTTAATTGTTGGAATTGATTTTAAGGTGCTTATAAATAGCTTTTATAAGCAATCTTAAAACATATCTTATTGACTTTTAGAAGTTATGATTTATTTAACATCCTATTAGCAGCTGTGCTGCTGCCATCAACACCTTTGTTTCTAGATGTTGGAGCTTGGCCTGTTTTCCAGTGTAGTCCTGTTTCTCTGACTGTGACTAACT